CCCCCCCCCCCAAACTTTTTCTCTTCCCAAACTGCATGGTGTGGCCTGTGACCGCCCAGACCGGCGCGATCCTAGCACAGCCCTCACCCGAGCCCTCCGGCGCTGGGTGGGTGTGGGATCCCTGGGGCCGGACTGCCGGCGGTGAGCGGGAATTCCTGCCGAGCTCACACTGGTGCGCGGCCCATTCACCCGCCCCATCTGAGCGGCGGGGGGGGGGCGGGGGGTGAGCGGCGGGGGGAGTGCGGTGGTCGCCGCGAGCAGCCGACGGGGTTCTGGAGAGTGAAGGGGACCCGTGAAGCTCCTGAGAGGGTTTTGGGGTGTAGCTACAGCCTCACGTGCAGTGAGGAGGCGATGTCCTGGTGGCCGCCACTCCAGCGTCGCCTGCGCGCACCCCGAAGGCCAAGGAGGACTCCATTTCCTCCCCCGCCCCCGGTCCACCCACCCCCAACACTCAGACCGGAGCTTGAGTGGATTTGAGGATTTGGGGGACGGGGGACACGGGGTACTGGTTCTCGTCTCCCCGTCTGCAACACCCAGCCCCCAGGCAGCGGGGGGGGGCGGGTGTCTTTGTCCCCAGGGCTGGCCGCGGGCCCCGCCCCCTCCTTCAACTCCGGGACCCCGACGCTCTCCAGCGCTCGCTTGCGGTGCTCCAGCGCTCTCCGAGCCTCGGTGAGGTAGGATCCGCATCCTTCCCCCCCCCCCCCCCCCCTGGGGGGTCTGGGGGTGGGCTAGGGGGCGTGGAGCGCAGTATGTGGTCCCTGACAGATGTCCTCGCGGCGGCGCCGGCGTCTCTGTAACAGAATTAATGACTTACACGCAGGCCGCCAATCGGCGCGGCCACGGGGGAGGGGCGACCCAGCTGAGACTCAGCGGACGAGGTCGCAGCCCTAAGGTGCAGCCTCCGCTTGGGGTGGGGGGCTCAGTGGCCAGGACCCGGAGCCCCGCCTTCCGCCCCACCTCCAATCCCCTGTGCCCCCAACTCTGCGATTTGCTCTCTGTGGGGCCGGCTCACGGATCCCCCGGGTGCCTGGACCCTCCCTGCCCCTCGCGCTGGCCTCTGAGCCCCTCCACAGAGCCCTAACCCTGGGCAGCCAATACTTGCCTGGGGGGTGGGGCAGTGCCGGTGAGGGCGCCCTGAGGCCTCTGGCCTTGGCTTCTATGCCTTAGAGATGGGCTCATAGCCCCTGGGCCTGGGGAGCAAGCTGCAGGAGGTCGGCATGTAACTCTAGGCAGGCCCTAGCTTGGTCCCTGGCATACCCCAGTGGCCCATCCCAAGCCAACCGGATCCTTCCTGAGCCGAGCTGCTTGGCCAGTGTAGCCCTGGGGGAACCAGCCAGAAACGGGAGTCAGTCACCTCTGGCAGAGGCTTGCCTGGGAAAGAATGCACTGCACTGGAGCCTCGGCTCCCATGCATTCCCTGCACGGGGCTGGTGAGGCCAGAGGCTTGAAGGTTGATTTCTTGGACCTTCCAGGAGTGACCAGTGTCACTCTGGGGGAGGACCAGTTTCTCCCCAGTCCCAGCGGCAGCTGCGGAGGGCCTCTTAGACAACAGGGAGGGGAAGGGGGTCCTCTCACCAACCCATCCGTTCCCTGGTCCCCAGGCCTGGCACATCTTGCAGTATATCTATGTGGTGATAGCCAGGGCTTGCCCTTGGCCTGAGGCCTGCTGGGACAAGGGTCCAGGTAGGAGGCAGCCCGGGGAGAAAGGCCGCAGCTCAGATGCCCCACGCTGCCTCCTTCCCTGTGCCTCACCCTGACCCCCAGAGCTGTGATACGTTTCTGGACATACTGCCCCCCCCCCCAGTACATAACCACGGGGCACGCTTGCTTTTGTCCTAGCACCCCCTTTATGGCTCTGCACCCCCATCACAAGGGAGCCCCACCTGGCAGGCAGGAGGGGGCCACAAAGCACTAAACTCCTAAATTCCCACCTGGCAGGGGGAGGGCAGCGTAGAGCCCACTCCCCACTTCCTGGCTGACCTTCCGTGCCCAGGTGGTGCGGGGCGAGGGGGATCTGCCAGTCCCTATAGGAGTCGCTGGTGCTGTGGGCGTTCATTCACATTCTCTCTCCGGTCCCCACACACTATAGGATTTATCTTGATTTGCTGCCTTTGAATTGAGTCAACTCTTTTGTATGCTCGGTGAATTGCCCAGCTGCTGGCGGGGAGCGGAGAGCGTGCCGGGGGTACTGAGGCCGGGAATCGGAGGAGGGCGGGGGACAGGAAGCGGGGAGGGGGCTGCGGGCGCCAGCGGGGACGGGCCAGGCTGCGCGGGGACACGAGCGGCCCGAGGTGCGGGCCGGGCAGCCCCCCCGGGCGGCCGGGGACACCGTCGAGGCCTGCCCGGCCCCAGCGAGGAGCCCCGAGGGGCCAGGAGGCTCAGACCTGGGGGCAAAGCTGCCCTTCGGGCTCTGCTCCGGACCTGCTGTGTGACGTGGGGCAAGCCTCTGGGCCTCTCTGTAACTTGCGGAAAGGGGGCTTCCGCACACGCACGTTGTGAGGGTCAAAGAGTGCGCCGAGCCTCTCGGAGTTTTCCCAGAGGTTGGGGTGAGTGAGGGAAGGAAGGGGGGCCAGGACTGGGGAGAGGGTGCCAGCCCTACCTGTCCGCCCCCCGGCCCCCCCC